TTCATTGCAAATTGGATAGACTTCTCCAACACTGCACCTGTTTCTTCTAGGAGAGACGAGTAGGCCAAATGACATATACAACTATCATAAAGGTGATCACTTCCAGTCTACAGTCATTCTCCAAATCCACCAAATCCATGATTCGATTCGACTTTTCATGTAAACACTATTGAGTGTTAATTATTTACAAAGATGGCTATGTCGTGTCAAGTGTGATATAACAGCCCTATTTTTTTTTACCTAAGAGTGAGCCATTTGTATCTATTCTTCCATGGAGGGCCTTTTGCAGTGTGTATGTGCTGTGTGTGTGTAGAATAGCCTACAGACTTTCTGTCAGCATTGCATTTGACATAACTCACAGGGCAAGAAAAATGTCACCACACCAGTCGCTTCAGGGAAGGAGATTTTCCAGTTCTACTCCTCCGACTCCAACAGTCGCCATTTCAAGTCGAAAAGTCCAGCTGGAGGATAACGATGAACTACACGTTATATTTCTCAGACAATGACCGATCCTGCTTTTGATTTTGATTTCACCCCTACTCTACAGCCAGTACAAATAAAACAGCACAAAGATGTCACCTGAAGTGAATCTGGATAACTGGAACAATGGATTTAATGTGTTGTTTGGAAAAAGAAATTGTATCCTTAGCAACAAGATTCACTGGCATACTAACATACTGTATGTCTAAGCAGTTTGTATAATCTATAATGTATATAGTGTTTTTGTTTTATCCAATTTTATTTGCAGTAAAAGACATAACGTATAGATCTGTCAAGAGTTGCAGAGATTTGAATAGGGAGTCATTGCATGTTTGTCTCTTGCAGCTGGGGCCTTGTTTCCTGAGTGACGCTGAGGTGATGCTGCTGGTCAACTCCAAACACATCCCTGCATACAAACTGGAGGTCATGATGGAGAGACCAGAGAGAGGAGTGGCCATACGAAGGCAGATGATATCTGCCAAGCTTCCCACTCCCTCTGCACTCTCCTCTCTGCCATATACTGACTACGACTACTCCAAGGTGAAGACACACACACACACACACACACACACACACAACAAACTTGCCGCCTTCTCTGTAAAACTTCCTGTTTTACAAGGTTGTGAACATTTCTGTTTCTTCAGGTTATGGGCGCCTGCTGTGAGAATGTCATTGGCTACATGCCCGTACCGGTGGGCGTGGCTGGACCGCTGCATCTGGATGGGAAGCAGTTCCAGGTTCCCATGGCAACCACAGAGGGCTGCTTGGTTGCCAGTACCAACCGTGGTTGTCGAGCAATTGCTGTGAGTGTCAGCTGCGTTGTTGATAAGGTCTTACCGGAGAGTGCTGTCTGTTGGTGTAATTTGTTGGTTTGTGAGGGAAATGTCATCGTTTTCTTACTAAAATAATTGAAACCATACAATAACTGGTGACTAGGTCATCAGATACAGGTAAATCACGTTTGTGTAGGCGTCTATTTCACATGTGGCTTTAAAATCTTACATCAAAAAGTGGTTGTAGGACCTGTTTTATAGCTTGAACTTACAGTATCACTAATTGGCACTGAGCTGTAGATGAAGTTCCCTTCATCATGTAATAATATGCAGCGTATCTAACTCGTGGCCCTGTCCCCCCTTGCGCTGTAGCTGGGAGGCGGAGCCAGCAGTCGTATCCTGGCTGACAGCATGACTCGAGGACCCGTGGTGAAGCTGCCCTCTGCCTGCCAGGCTGCTGAGGTCAAGGCCTGGCTGGAGAGTACAGACGGGTTTCAGGCCATCAAGGAGGCCTTCGACAACACCAGCAGGTAAAACATGAACGCTGACATAGACAGAACTAGAATTCAAAGGTACGAGCTCAGTGTCCGTTGTGTGTCTACATTTGTGTGAAAGAGTCAGTTGTTGCCATTGGCAGGTTTGCTCGGCTCCAGAAGCTGCTGGTTTGTCTGGCCGGGAGAAATCTCTACATCCGCTTCCATTCCAGGACTGGTGATGCCATGGGGATGAACATGATCTCTAAGGTACTTTTAGTGTGTCAGATGCACATGAACACATCATTATATACATATTTGATGACAGTTATTTGACAGAATCGTTGCAGTAAAGTGTCTGATGTAATCCCAGTGTCTCTCATGTATGATGACTAACGCACGGTCTGCGTTCAGGGCACAGAACAGGCTCTGAGCAGACTGCAGCAGCACTTCCCAGAGCTGCAGGTGGTGGCTGTCAGCGGGAACTACTGCACCGACAAGAAACCGGCCGCCATCAACTGGATCGAAGGCAGGGGCAAGTCTGCCGTCTGCGAGGCCACCATCCCCGCTAAAGTGGTCAGAGAGGTAGGAAGAGCCAGGATTCTGTACAGCATTCACTGGCATTAATCAGTTGTCCCATCTTTTAAGCAAGTCACCTTGTGCCTATCAACAGAAATTCAGTCCATAGTCATAGCCAGTGTACAGTAGATGCTGGTGCTGGCTTGCATTGCTGCACATTTTGTACAATGAGGTGCTGAATGAAGTATTTGGAAAGCATAGCCCTGTCAGCCCTTCAAAATCCTTGAATGTAGTTGGAAGTAATACAATTATCAATAAACGTGACAGTGGGTTCTGGTTTCCTGAAGTAAAATTCAGACACCTAGACTCAGCAGGTAGTTTTTAAACTGTACACTATCTTCACTATATGCCCACTTACTGATTTAAACCTTTTTTCTAGATGATTTGGATTAAAGCCAAACTATGAGAAAAAGCACTATTATGAGCGTAGGACCACTAAGATTTAGTCCTGTCGTGCCCAGTTCCAGTTAAGTGGTGTAACGGATCAGTAGATGTTTTTGGAATTCATATTCATTTAATAATTATATATTATTTGAAAATGGTGAATTAAATTAAAAAAATATGGCAGCAATGAGCTTATCCCTGTCAAATTTGAAATGCTGACCCTGAAAGATCCCTTCTAGTGTGGGATCGTGAAATGTAAACTCATCATGTGTTTTGAGTTTTATATGCCTTTTAGTTTAAGTTGTACCCTATTCATTAGAGTCATCCTATCTCATATTAACTCTATATCAGCGAACTCACGCCTACCCCTTGTCCCTGTGCTGCAGGTCTTGAAAACAACGACAGAAGCTCTGGTGGAGGTGAACATCAGTAAGAACCTGGTGGGCTCTGCCATGGCGGGTAGCATCGGTGGATGTAACGCACACGCAGCCAACCTGGTGGCTGCCATCTACATCGCCTGCGGACAGGTAAAGTAGCAGTGCTATCGTACATTTGTTTGTTTTAAGGTATTCTTGTGTTTCCTGTGTTAATCTGTGTGTGTGTGTGTG